TCTGGCAACAAGTCGAAGTAAACAAAGCGTAAATAGTAGTTTTGTGAATGAGACTAAAACCCTAGGTAGTTTGTAAAAAAAGAGTGTGATTGGTCGAAAATAAGTAACCAATAAGTGTATTAATGAATATTTTTTAAAACTAAGCTATTTGATCTTTCGCTTTCTTCTAATAAGTGATAAAGAACAAAGGATGTAATATTAGTTATCGTTGACTCTGTAGTTGGATATTCTTCAAATGCGATATCCTGGCATTGTTTGCTTATCCAAATGGCAACATCTATGATAGGGAGGCGGCATTTCATACTCCTTACAGCATAAGTATCATTTATAGATACACATTTCTTAAAACATGAAAAAGTTTCATGCTTTGAACATTTATGTATGGTAACTAAATTACCTAAAACTCTGTAAAATCCCTGAGACCTCTGTTAATACCGTTGATGCTTGCACCATCTAGTAATCGACCTAATGATTTTTTTTTAATCTTTAAGTCTGAATCAAACACATATTGAATAAACAAAACCTTGCTAAATTAGATTTTTCAATACAGAGCATGAACAAAATCACAATTAGGTTACACTGAATATGTAGATTCGTTATTGATGTGTGTGTGTGTGTGTGTGTGTATCGTCTATGGAAATATGTAGTCACGCTTGGTAATGAGTTACGAGAGTGTATAATCAGCTATTATTATGCATTGAGTCTTGGCGTTGAGGAGTTGTATCCACATTCGAAGAGGTGAGCGAGAAAATGCACGTTTGCTTGTTTCAACTCGAGCAACTACTAGCTGGGTGGTTCCAAGGAGGGTGAAGAGCAAAAATCTTAGAACCAACTCCCAATACTTGTGTTGTATATTTTGTTCATTCTAATGAAATGGGAATTTCTCGGTCAGTTATTGTCATCTATCCATTTTATTTCTATTTGCCAGTGCAATGTAGTGCAATATATGCGCAGGTGTAGATGATATTAGCATATCAAACCTTTACATCAAGTTCATACTCTTTATACATTATCCTAGAAGTAATAATTTCAACAATGTAGAAAATAACACGAAGTCGTATATTTCATTTCTTTTATGACGATGAATATTCACCAATTCCCGAATATCCACTTCGCTGAAAAAAATAAATGTCCGATGGTCTTAGACGTCATAAAAACATGAGAAATCCGAGGTCAAAACGAGGTTGCCAAGCTGACACCTTTTTCCGGATGGACGCAAAGAAAGCTGTAATCTGAAATAGCCTGCTACAATGGGGCGTAATAGCAATCGCATGGTCCTGGGTTCGTTCCCGGCTGCCCCCCCCCCCAGTCGACTCAGCTGTGAATGAGCACTGTTATGCTGACGCCAGCATGCTAGGGTCAAAGTCGGGGCAGAAAGGAACAGGTCACCCTACCGCATCATCCCGCGGCTTAGTAAGCATGTTTCTCTACAAAACATGTCCCTTACGTCCAGATGGATATGGGACCAGCTTTGACTTTTGACAATGGGTTGAGGGAAAGTAACTTCTCCAACGGTGATATATTCGGAGAGCTGGGCATCTCCCGGACGATGGTATACAGGCAGATAGGGTGGGAAGAGGAGGGCAGCCATAACGAGGAAAATACACCGGGAATACACGGAAAGCTCCATTGCTGAAGGGAATTTCAGAAATCAATTTATTTCAATTTACTGTATAGATATTTGTTTATACAAAACAGTGCCCTACACGTCATATTTCATGTTCAGATTCTATATCGTTATTTACATTTCACATATGACAGACAAATTATCAATAAAACGGCGAGCAGCGGCCGCGTGACCTGCGATATGTGGAGGTGGATCTCCCTATATGACATTGGCGAAACGGGGAAAATGCCTCAGACAAATATATCGAATTGTTAGAAAAAAAATCCTCCCATCAGTACACTGTCATGCCTTGGCCCTTCCCAGAAACAATGAGGATAACTGCTCTATAAACACGTCCAGGGCAGTTGGGAAGTAGTTCCCTGCCTAACACCACGCGGAAGTCGTTCGGTGGCCAAGCGAGGGATGTCGCTCAAACCCGACGAAGAATGTTTGGCCGAATATTGTCAATGTTTGAGAAACGGCTGATGAAACAACCTCGAACCAGATGATAGAAATCGTGACGTTAATGTGAACACGTGACCTCAGGCTCAGGGATTAGACACCGTTTGAATAACAATACATATTTCTTATTATAAGCATTACTATTTGTCTTCCTTTTCTACAGTTATTACCATTTTTTGTAAAAGTGTCTCCAAAATTAATAAACGTGTGTGTGTCTTAGTTATTAGCTACATGGCATGGCGATTTGTGTGAGAAGGGGTTCAAAACGTATATGGAATATAAATAAAAAGATTCTAACTAAAGCATTAAAAACTACAATTGCAGTTCTATCACACACAATACATACACACATTGTTGAGGCCTGGTTAAGCCGACCACGGTTTTACGTTCAGTTAATATTCTAAAATAATTATAATTGTCTGTTTATTGAATCCGTGCCTAGATCTGATCTATTAGTTCACAATGAAAATTACATATAAGAACTTTGATTTTATTTTGCGATAAAAGACAAGAATGTCATTTTTTTCACACATACAAATACACTGTAAACAAGCGTGTATTGACAAAAAGAAGGAAAATAAAAATAAAAATGCATAAACAACAAATAAAAGTAAAGAGCAAGATTAACTGACATTTATCCAAACGATTTCTTTCTTCTTCAAAATATCAGATATACAGCTCCTGTAATGAGAGTCGGTTCTTTGGCTATTGCTATTCACCCTCTTTGGAACCACCTCGCTTGTAGTTGCTTGGGTTGAAACAAGCGAACTTGTATTTTCTCGCTCAACTGATCGAATGTGGATGCGCCTCCTTCTAAAAACGCCAAGACTTACGTAATAATAACAGAAAAAACTATGATAAGATTTTAGCACAAGATAAAGGACATTCTGAATAACCGAAACGAATTAAACAGTTTCATAACTCGTCACTAAGCAGTGACTTCGTATTTCCATGGACGCCACACACACACACACACACACCACACTCACACACACACACACACACACACACACACACACACACACACACACACACACACACACACACACACACACACACACACAACAAACACACACAACAACAACAACACAGCACACACACACACACACACACACACACAAACACACACACACACACAAACACACACACACACACACACACACACACAAATTGATGAAGCATCTATGCATTCTGTAAAGAAGAATATAATGTAGCATGATTTCTGTTTATTCAGATTAAGTGTTTGGTTTTGGCAAAGAGGAAAAACGTATATCATTTTACTAGATCGATTATGGTGCAGCTACGAGAAATATTTACAAAGATTTTTTTT